GGTGTCGAGGGTATCAATTGACACTTGACCACGGATGTCTTTGGTACACTTTTTTCCATGAAGATAGGGTTTTTGTTGCTCAAATATTAGTGGGGGATTTATCTTTATCTAAATCCTGTTCACAGACACCACGATAGTGAGTAGCGTAGCCAATCAGAGAATAGCATTCATGATAGGATGCAAGTAGATTTACTGGTATACTAAAACTCGATAGAAACACAGAACTAGCACAAGCTGTTGAGAAGACGTAATGATGTTGCGAGCAAAGAGAATTGACATTTTGATGATCAAAGTAAACAAGTTGTTTTCTTTTTTTTGTCACAAAAATTTGCAGAAGTGGAAGTTTGGGAGAACTCAAAAAGGCTGTGGAAACTCTCAATAGAAACACAGCACATTATTATTATTATTATTATTATTATTTTTACTATTAATTTTTCTTGAAATGAGGTGCAATTATGATTATTAACTTTTCTTTTTTTTGCATTGCAGCATATGCTGTGACATTCACAGTTTTGTACATGGAAGCCATGATCCACTTTCCTCAGAGCAAGTTTCTCAAGTTTTTTCTTCAACTGTTGGTGGTTCAGCTGGGTGTCCTGTGCTCACTGTCTCGTGTCAGTGATTACAAGCATCACTGGAGTGACGTCCTTGCAGGTCTGTTGTTGGGTGTACTTATTGCTGTGCTGATAATTGACCGTGTACTACAAATTTTTCAGAGAGACAGGAACAGTAAAACAGTTTCTGAAAATGTAGTCTAATGAAGATTACCATGGTCAAACAATGTAACAGACCTTTTTACCAGTTCCTTTCTTATTTCACAAAACACTATAAATTATTATTTTCTTACAATAATATAATACAGCAACTAAAAATACTTTCCAGATAAAAAGACAGAACATGATTCTGTGAAATAAATTAATTCATTTAGTAGAATTCTACAAGAGTATTCTAATGCAAATGCTGCAATCTGATTGGCTGAGCTACTCTTATACAGTGGAACCTCAATTTAATGAACCTCTATATAACAAAGTCCTTGATATAACGAACGATATTCCTCCCCCCCAGTAATAGTGAAATATATGGAAAAAAACGTCGATACACCAAAACCTCATTATAGCGAACATATTTTGCCAGTCCCCTGGCCCTTCATTACACCAAGGTTCCACCGTTCTATCAGCCATTTAAGAGTGCAGTGGCCAGAGGGTGTTCACATAGTTATGACGTTTTCTGATTTCTTTGATATTTCGAGGAAGATTTAGAAATATTTCGTGATAATTCAATTCCCAATAACACTAACGAAAAGAAATTGACTGTTATGCCACTTAAAAACCTCAAAATTTTAAATGAACTGAGGAGTGTGTGTGCACAATTGCAAAGTTGAAATAACTCAGAAAAGAATAAATAATT